CCACAGCACTCTACCAAGGGCAACATAGTGAGAGACTCTGTCTCAAAAAAAAAAAAAAAAAAAGAATATTCAGTGCTTGTTTCAAGAGCAGATATACTAAAATTGGGGCTTCGCACCTGTAGCTCAGCAGTTAGGGCACTAGCCACATACACTGGAGCTGGTGGGTTTGAATCCAGCCCGGGCCTGCAAAACAACTACAACCAAAAAATAGCTGGGCATTGTGGTGGGCACCTGTAGTCCTAGCTACTTGGGAGGCTGAGGCAAGAGAATTGCTTAAGCCCAAGAGTTTGAAGTTGCTGTGAGCTGCGATGCCATGGTACTCTACTGAGGGTGACACAGATGACTCTGTCTCAAAAAATAAAAATTGGGGCAATACAGAGAAGATTAGCATGGAATAAGAAAGTATAGAGGAAAAAAAATCTTTAAATGACTATTCAATAGAGAGGAATTATCATAGATGTTAAAACCAAGGATTAAAGCCTGTTGGGGAAGAAGATTATCTACACAGTCTCAAAATATCACCCCACAAAGGTGGTAGCTTCATCTACAAAGAGAAAATCCCCATCTACAAAGGGAAAAAGGTACCTTAATCCAAATCTGGCAAATGCAACCCTAATAGAACTGATTAAATTTAACATTACCAATAATGGGATAAATGAACATCATGTGCCCTTGATCTGAGGCAATAGGGACCCATCACTGATGTGTATTCTTGCCAAACAATTAGACAAAATCCAAATTCTGCAGAACAACTGGCCTGACCTCATGAAAAACATACGTGGCTAGAGAAAGTTTTAAATGAAAGGAAATTAAAGAAACATACCTTAATACAAGATTTTTGAAGATCCTCGCCCAACAGGGGAAAAAATCAACCATAAAAAACATTATTTGGAAATTGGGAATGTTTAGCATTGATCTTGTAGTATTTATTACTATTTCTTGAAAAATATTTTTGCTTGGTATAGAACTCTAGATTGAGGGTTTTTTTCCCAGTGTTTTTAAGATACTGCTCTGCTTTCTGGTTTGCATTGGTTCTGCCTGAGTTGAAAGCTTGGCAAAACTGACGAGAGGTATAGTACTCAAATGATAGAAAAGCTGTGCCCTACAAATACCTGACACTGAAGAAACCTCAGGGGCCAAAGCAGTGGAGAAAAATGAGCCCGCTCTCCTGCCCTCCCTCTCTCTTTAAACAATGATCACATACCTTTTACCTACTTGAAATAGTTAAGGAATTCATTCTGTGGTCATGGACAAACCAAAGCCAGCTGGCCCACAGAGACCATTCATTATCAGAGCACAATTAAAAAGAGAATTTAATTCATATCCACATAGAAAGGACTTCCATTCTAGGCAGGAGGTAGAACCTTTGGTTCCCTTCTAATTCTGGAAACAGATATGAAAAGAGTTCTCCAAGGATTATGCCACTTTGTAAATTACCTTACAAAATCTGGGTGTAGGCCAGTGCAGTGTCTCCCACCTGTAATCTGGGAGGCAGAGGTAGGAGGATCCCTAATGCTCAGGCGTTTGAGACCAGTCTGAGCAAAAGTGAGACTTTATACCAAAAATAGAAAAATTAGCCAGGTGTTGTGGCAGGCACCTGTAGTCCCAGCTACTTTGGAGGCTGAATCAGGAGGCTTGCTTGAACTCAGGTGTTTGAAGTTTCTGTGAGCTAGTCCATCTAACAAAGTGGTTCTCAACGACCTAATGCCACAATGTATTTTCATTGTTAAAAAGGGGTTGCGACCTACAGGTTAAGAACTGCTGATCTAACAGCTATATTCACATAGTGTGCTTCCTACCTATACCTATACAACTTCTTTCCAGACATCTGACACTGGTATTAGTTTAAAACACTAATGGAAGAAATTCTGTATGTTATCTTTTTGTCCCAGTTAAAAGAAAAACTTCAGATTTCCCATCAGAAGTCCTTGGACTTTGCACTTGATAGCTACTACCAATAAAAATTGAAGATTTGAAAAATTCCTTTGCATTTTCTGTCTGTACAAATATTTTAAAGGATTTTAAGAGGTCCTTTAATAACACAGTTAAAAAAAATTGTCAGCCATGGCTAAATGCTAGTTTTTCATCGACCCAGTCACACATTATTCTTGGGGCCTGAGGTCTTTTCTCTGTCAATGACACCAGTTCATGAGGCACTTGCACATACTTGACTCCTGGATCTGTGACAGTGACTGAAGTGCATTAATGACAATGATCAAGTATGTGAAGTTCCTTGTTGACAGAAACTGCTCAAGCCAGGGAAGTGTTGTACCATGATGAGACTCTGCCCAAAGTCAGTTAACCAGCAGATGAAGGATGATCTAGAAGCAGGTGGAGCAATGAAACACCTTTTGCAGCTATTGCATATATTAGTGAATGTTATTTGTAGCGTGGGGTAAGCTTCCAGGTTAAAGCCCAATAGAAGAAAGCATTTAGAAAACAGAACTATATTTGTATGTTTTTTTCAAACTATAAGTCAAGTCAGATTGAGGTTTACCGAATCTGTAACATCCAAGAAGATGCAGGGACTCTTCTGTTTCTCAGAAGCCTTGTGTCTAAGGTGGTTAGGACAGTTCCCAAGAACTGGTTTCTCTTTCAGCTTACTGTTTACAACATGGCACATCTCAAATTACTGGTAAATAAATTAAAGGCTAAGTGTTTAAAAAAAAAAAAAACAGGGCAAACTCATACATAAAATTTAGGAAAAGAAAAAAAGAAAAGCAAAGATGATAGAAATAATTGTCATATAGTCTCCTGGAATTGACATGCACCACAATAACATGAACTTTTCTTGAATAAGTATTTACGGGTAAATAAAATAATTATACTTTGTTAGTATACTTTTAAGTAAAATTTAATATAAAAATATGGTACTAAATACATTTACTAAAAGATAAATTACTTCAGAAGTCTTCTGATTTTATAATTATAAAGTAAGTGAAAACTGCTGCAGGCTTTTAACATTAAAAATAACAAATGAACCAACCAACTCCATCTGTCACTTCTCATTTCGTAACAGGGAAATTGTTCTAGTGCAGCGGTTCTCAGCCTGTGGGTTGCAACCAATGAAAATACACCCTGCATATCAGATATTTACATTACAATTCATAACAGTAGCAAAATTACAGTTATGAAGTAGCAAAGGAAATAATTTCATGGTTAGGGGTTACCACAACATGAGGAACTGTATTAAACGGTCACAGCATTAAGAAGGTTGAGAACCACTGTTTTAGTGCTATGCTACATAATTCAATTTTGGTTTATTTTTAAATGAGAAATGTGAATGTACTGACATTTTTTTCTTAATTGGCTCCTTCCCATTCCTTCTGTCCTGTGTTGGGGCCTGATATCTTACCATACTTCAGACAAGACAAAGGTCAAGAAAGGCCAGCCTGTGGGAAGGAGCATGTCTGGCTGTCATTGTCTTTAGAGTCTGGAACCTCTAAAGGGGTAACCAAGGTCAGTAGAGGTTCCAAACTTAGTATAAGCCAAGCAAACATCTAGGTTTCTTCAACCTAAGGCAGATGACTCCTAGCAGATGTCAGTCTTTTGAGAGAAAATGGAATATTCACAACCTAAAGTTTCTCTTAGATTTTGCGAGGAAAGCTAGTTTTTATTTAACTTAGTTAACTTTCAGAAAATTTTAGTTACTAATATATAGTTAATAGTTGGTATTATGAACACACAGAAGAAAGAAAATAAGACTATAAAATGAAATAAAGGCTAGAATCAAAAGCTGATGTACAGTAAATGTTTCCCTACGATTCCTAAAATGACTCCCTGTGCCACACTCCAACCCCAGGGTTGTTCCACTCTCAGAGGAAACACATCACAATAGAACAGCCAAGACCCACATGGTGTCAACCCTGATTTCTTCTCAAGTTTTTGTCTTGTGGATGTAAATCACTAAGAACATATGCATTTCTCAAGTTTTAGGATACAAATTAAGCAAAAGAAAGTCGTATCAGAGGTTTACTTCAGTTCTTATTTAAGCTTTGTGGAAAACAAAAATAGGAGGCTAAAGCAGAAATAAGTATTGCTTTAGTAATGAATGATGAGCCATCCAGCTGAATGAACAAAATACATGCTACCTTCTTAAACTTTGTCCTCATTTACCTACAAATCTGAGGGTTTTAATCTGCATAGGTCCCTTGGCAAAAGGGTCAGAAGTCATTGTCACTCTCATCCAGGGGTTCAGGTTTCCGGACCCTTCGACTAGGCTTAGCAGGTGACAGAGCAATGCTCTCATCTTCTAAATCATCATCATCTTCTTCATCATCTTCCATGTCAATTTCACTGTCCTCTGAATCATCCTATAGGAACAAGACAGTAAATGCAACTGGGGGCCCCACCTCATTACTGACATCTTGTTATAGAGACCCTGCCTCACTTTTTTAGTAGCAGCTCGAGGGAAAGAGTACAGCACCTTGCAGTACCCCCTCACTCCTGACCAAGAAGTAGTCAGGTTGCTTCTCATCCAACCAGGATCCTTCAAACATCAGTGTGTTTCTGGTTTGGTTCTGCAGGGGCTGGCATTCCCATGAACATCTTGGGAGCACCCTGATCTGCACTGAAGGTCACCAGATGCTGGGGGCCCAGAGACCCACCATCTGAGAGCATGGAGGGCAGGGGCTTGGAGAGAGGGCCTATTGGCTTTTTCCAGACTGGGGATGGAAAGCAACATAGGCAATGAGTGTAAGCAGCAAAGTGAAAGATGTGCACTCTCCCACATCACCTAGATACAGAGGGACTAACTTGGCCAGCTTTGAAACTGCAAGTCCTATGTCTCACACAAACCATGATGGCTGCTTATTCTACCTAGATCATTTCTACCAGTGCACATGTCCTATAATTTCCTTCTTCTTGAAAAAACAAAAACAGGTTGGGCATGGTGGCTCATGCCTATAATCCCTAGCACTCTGAGAGGCCAAGGTGGGAGGATACCTTGAGCTCAGGAGTTCAAAACCATCCTAAGCAAGAGTGAGACTCCATTTCAACCAAAAATAGGAAAATTAACCAAGTGTTGTGGTGGGCATCTATAGTCCCAACTACTTAGGAGGCCAAGGCAGTAGGATCTCTTGAACCCAGGAGTTTTAGGTTGCTTTGCTAAGCTGATGCCACAGCACTCTAGCCTGGGCAACAGAGTGAAACTCTGTCTCAAAAAAAAAGTAAAATCAAAAGCAAAAATAAGGGTGGCACCTGTGGCTCAAAGAAGTAGGGTGCTGGCCCCATGTACCGGAGTTGGCAGGTTCAAACCTAGCCCCGGCCAAAGAAAACTGCAAAAAAAAAAAAGCAAAAATAAAACTTAATCCCACCTTCCTTTGCAGCTGCTCCGCCTTGTTTCCCTCCCAGCAAAACCCCTGAGCTGCTGGACGCATTGTTCCTCTTCTTCCTCTCACTGCCTCTAACCAGTTAGCATATCCTAACGAGCCCCCCAAGACTAAAACGTTCAATGGATTCGAACTTAGCAGGTAATCTTCAGCCTTCATCTTGCTTGGCCTATGTGTGGCATCACCTTCTTCTTCATCGAAATCCATCTTCTCTACCCACAGAGCCCCGCCTCCAGTCTAGATGCCCCTCACTGCTCAGTCTTCCTGGCCTGACTGTACCCTCCCATGGGCCCTGCAGTGAAGGGGCAGCTCAAGATTTAGGGCTTCTCTCTAATTTTTTTCCTATCCTTCTATCACATCTATCCTTGTGGCTTAAATACCACCTAAATAAGGATGGCTCCCAAAATTGGACCTCCAGCCCAGACCTGGATGTTGACCAGCTGCTCAACATATGGACATCTACCAAGCAAATGTCAAAAACCAAACTCTGGATGTGTCAATCCCCTTCTTAAGTTGGCCCTACCTCAGGAAATGAAAACTCTGCTTTCAGTTGATTAGATCACAACTAAAGTATCCTCTATTTCTTTCTCTAACATCTGATGTCCAATCAATATTTTTTAGTTTTTTTGAAATGGAGTCTCACTATGTCACCCTCAATAGAGTACTGTGACATCACAGCTCATAGCAACCTCAAACTCTTGGGCTTAAACGATTCTCTTGCCTCAGTCTCCCAAGTAGCTGGGACTATAGGCGATTGCCACAATCCCTGGCTATTTTTTTTTTGTTGCAGTTGTCATTATTGTTTTAGCTGGCCCAGGCTAGGTTCAAACCTGCCAGCCTCAGTGTATGTGGCCAGCACCCTACCCACTGAGCTACCAGCACTGTCACTTTTTTTTTTTTTTTTGAGACAAGAAATCTCACTGTTGCCCAGGCTAAAGTATCATGGCATCAGCCTAGCTCATAGCAACTTCAAACTTCTAGGTTCAAGGAATCCTCCTGCCTCAGTCTCCTGAGTAACTGGGAATATAGACACTTGCCATGATTCCTGGATAATTCTTCTATTTTTAGTAGAGATGGGGTCTTGCTCTTGCTCAGCCTGGTCTTGAACTCCTGAGCTCAAGTGATCCTCCTGCTTTGGCCTCCCAGAGTGCTAGGATTACAGGCATGAGACACCATCCCTAGTCTGATGTCCAACCAATTAAAAAAACCTGATGGTTCTGACCTAGGAAACATATACAGACTATAACCACTTCCCACACCTTCTGGTGCCACTCCTTAGGCTAAGCAACCATCGCCTGGGATCTATAGGACTACAATTGCCTCCTAACTGGTTTATCTCAAAGGTGAATCAGTTCTTGGCCCTTCTGGGTTCACAATTCTCAAGCCTTCCTATCATACTAGAGGAAAACAGAGAGCCCTCATTGCATCCCGTGAAGCTCTATGAAGCCCTTGCTGCCTCTCTCCTCCCAGTTCACTCCACCTCAGCAGGATGGCTCACTCCCTCCTTTGACTCAGGCCTCTGCCCAAGCATCTCCATATCAGAGACCTCCCAACTTATTTCTTGATCCTGCTTATTTCTTGTCTAAAACTCATATCCCTCACACATGTGCTCAACTGCTATTGTCTGAACCTGTGTGAAGTAGGGCCTTTGTTTCTTTCTATTCCCTGCTGTGCTCCCCATTATCTGTAATGGTGCCTGGCATGTGACAGCCACTCATTAGATACCTGCTAAATGACGGGTAAAGGATGATGAAGGACAATGGCTCTTTCCAAGCATCATCAGCTCTTAAGCCAGACTCTATTTCTACGTTAGATGGGTAAGATGGATGGACAGAAGCTATTTAACCACGCTTTACCCTGTTAAGAAATATTTTTGAGGTGGTCTCCCTGCCTCTTTACAGACTATCTTCTACGAATTCAAGGTCTAATTTTCTCTGTGAACTCTGTCTAGAAAACCTGAGTGAACTCTCCCTCCTGTGAATTTCTATAACAGTGTACACTGTGGGCAAGTGAATCTACACAAGAATATAAGGCCTGTTTCTGTGTCTGCACTGCTAGTAGTGCCATGCCCAACACAGGGCACGTCTACCTGATGAAGATGTGACAGGTCTCAGCCTAGTTCTCTAGTACCATGCGGGCTAAGCAGCACCTAGGATTGCAACAAAGAGGGAAGGCTAAGTGACAGTGCAGTCTTGATGACTTGATGATGCTGAGAATCCCTGTTCTCCACTCTAGCCAAGTCCTCTAATCAGTTATCTACTCAATGAAGCTCAAGGCACTGGTAGTCTGACATTTCCCCCTCTTTCCCAGCCTCCCTAAGACCAGGTCTGGGAGAGCCCTGTTTCCATATTCCTTCCCCAGAATGGAGCAGAAGAGAGGCCTCGTCCTGAACCGTACCATGCAGCATTGTCCCTTTCTAGGTCACAGCAGAAGAGCCTGATAACCCTCCAGCCATAGCTTTCTCATCTCTTGGGTCAGTGCTTACATGGGGACCTTCAGCTGATTCCATCTCATGCTGTGTAATCCACTTTGAGTGTCTTTCTGCAGGAGAGAGGAAGCATCACTCCTGGGGAGAGGCTCTCTGTTGGCCCTGAGCAGGCTGACACACCAACAAGTGGATGAGGTAAAAAAGAAACCAACCTGCTTCTTGGAGCTGGAAGTCTTGCATTTATCTAAGAGAGCTGGTGCTGCTTCCGTCTTTGGAAAGCGAGAATGGAAAGAACAGTGAGAAGGCAAAAAAAAGTAGAACAAGCACATTCATTTGAAAAGAAATGAGCCATCAACAAGCAAAGAAAGAGTCCAGCACTTAGAAGGCCAAACTCTGCTGCAAATCAAGCGATGGACGGGGCTGAGAACAGAGAACAGTTCCCTGGCTGCGGGCAGCAACTCAGTTAGTCTATGAGGACAGTCCAAGAGCAGAAAGCACAGAATTGCTGAAGGGAGTTGGTTGGGACTCACTTCATCATCGGAGTCTCCACCTTGCATTGTGCCCACAACTCGTTTGCTGGGTCTCCCTGAGAAGAAAAGCATGAAGAAATCATAAAAAAAACCTTGGAAAATAAGGCAGGAAATAGTATTCAAGATTTGTTTTCCCTTGGGAAAATGGGAAGAATACCAACATTTTATTTAGGCAGTATCCAGCTAATCAGAACTGTTAACCAAGAGTAACGAATTTTCTGTATTTTCAATTAAAAAAAAAAAAAGAAACAGGGCAATAAAATATAAGCACAAATCATGAATTAATAAAAAAAATATGTGGCTTGACGCCTGTAGCTCAGTGGCTAGGGTGCCAGCCACATACACTGGAGCTGGTAGGTTTGAACCCAGCGCGGGCCTACTCAACAACAAGGACAACTACAACCAAAAAACAGCCACACGTCGTGGTGGGCACCTGTAGTCCCAGCTACTTGGAAGGCTGAGGCAAGAGAATCACTTAAGCCCAAGGGTTTGAGGTTGCTGTGAGCTGTGATGTCACAACAGACTACTGAAGGTGACATGGTGAGACTCTGTCTCAAAAAAAAAACCTAAAAAGAAATGTACCTCATAAATGCTTTAAGAAAAATCATCGAGCCCCATTATTTACCCCAGTGGAAGTGGTATGCTAGCTATTGAAAAAGAATGTTGCGTTTATTGTAGCAGAAGTTAATGAAAGAAGAGTGTGTTTAAGTTTTTTGTATTTGCTGTGTGAGCATTTTGTAAAACATCGAAAATGGTTTGAGATGACTTATTTTATATCATTTGTTTTCCTCATCCTAAAAAGTTGAAATGTTTGATTCAGTAAAAAAAAAAAAAAAAAGAAAAAGAAAAAGAAATACATTCTCCCTTGTACTTGGATCTCTGAGCTTCAAAAAGAAAAAATTTTAAATGCAACGATTAGTTCATCTTTCTAACACCACCATTATCTAAAGGATTCCTATTCCTCCTCTGGTTGTCAATATTGCTCAGATGTGATTTCTGCCAAAACAAAATAAAAAACAAATAAACCTCAGGAGCTGCCCTTTACCAGGGGGCAAGGAGGTGGGACACAGAATGCTGGACTCATAGTCTAAGGATAAGAAAGGAACAACCCTGACCATTGGCCCAAGCTTTGGGGAAAAGGCAGCACAGACAGAAGCTGGCTAAAAACAGACCTGGAGACAGGTGACTGGCACTATTTACACAAACTTTCTCTTGGTCAAACAAAAGGCAAAATCTTGTGTTGTTTGAAGTCCTCTTTTATAGTTTTTAGAAATGGACCATGTGATTTTATTTTGCAGGCTAAGTGGTCAGCAGAATTTAAAAGAACCAGGGCCTTTACTAGGTTATGTTGAGCCAATCACGCACATTTTTGTAGCCCTAGCTCCTATCTGCCAAATAGGAATCATAATTGTTAACTCCTATGTCATCAAGCTTTTGAAAAGTAAAAGAAAAAGGAAACCAAAGCATCTAATTATCTTATGAAGGCCACTCATACCTATAATCCTAGCACTCTGGGAGGCCAAGGTGGGTGGATTGCTTGAGCTCAGGAATTTAAGACCAGCCAGAGCAAGAGCAAGACCCATCTTCTACTAAAAAATAAAAATAAAAAAAAATAGAAAAATTAGCCAGGCATTATGGCAGATGTCTGTAGGCCCAGCTACTTGGGAGGCTGAGGCAAAAGGATCACTTGAACCCAAGAGTTTGAGGTTACTGTGACTATGACGCCATGACACTCTACCCAGGGCATCAAAGTAAGACTATCTCAAAAAAAAAATTATCTTATGAAAAAAGTAAAATGTAGCTGAGCCCAGAATGAGAGAAAGCAGTTACTAATAAAAGGTATGTAATATGATATGATAAAAGAAATATTATTTTACCCCACAAATTTTTATATATTAAAGATGCAACTGTGCTCCAAACATTAACAGATGGTAGGTAAGAAATGGTTATCAGGCAATTCAGTATAACAGTATCTACCAAAATAAAATTTATAGGACATTTGACTAAAGAATTCCACCATTTTTTTTTTTTTGAGAAGGTCTCATTCTATTGCCCTTAGTAGAGTGCCGTAATGTCATAGCTCACAGCAACCTCCAACTCTTGGACTCAAGTGATTTTCTTGTCTCAGCCTCCCAAGTAGCTAGGACTACAGGTGCCCACCACAATGCCCACCTATTTTTAGAGATGGGGTCTTGCTCTTGCTGGTCTCGACCTCCAGCAATCCACCCATCTCTGCCTCCCAGAGTGCTAGGATTATAAGCATGCACCACGGTGCCCAGCCCCGAATTTCACTTTTAATGATGCCATCTAAAGAAACACTGACAGATATGCAGAAAGATGTATATACAAGGGAAAGAATGGAAATTTGATATGAGAATGACGAAGTAAATTATGGGTACAGACATGCTATGGAATATGATACAGCCATTAAAAAGACTGAAGCAAAACTATATTTTACTCAGAAAAGTTTCACTATATGGAATTTTAAAAAACAAAAGCAAGTTGAAAGAACCATATGTACAATCTGGTTACTTTTCATCTTTGTATCTATGTTTGATTGTATGTGTGTATGTCTGTATGTGTGCATATACCTGTATATGCATATATGCATACACATAGAAAGGCTATTTGTATGGCTACCCTCATGCCCAAACACTAGCCATGACCTCTTTATGGTAGGAGTGGGAAATGAGGAAGACCCTAGGTGGGCATTCATGTTGATTCCACATGTTTTGTTGTTTGAATCCTTTTTTCTTTCTTTCTTTCTTTCTTTTTTTTTTTTTTTTTGTAGCTTTTGGCTGGGCCTGGGTTTGAACCCACCACCTCTGGCATATGGGGACAGTGCCCTACTCCTTCGAGCTACAGGTGCTGCCCCTGCATCCTTTTTTCTCTTTAAAGGGATGGAGTCTTGCCATGTTGCCCAGGCTGGAGTATGGTGACTGTTCACAGGTGTGGTCATTAACACAATATAGCCCTGAACTCCTGAACTCAAGTGATCCTCCTGTCTCAGCCTCCTCAGTAGCTGGGACTGCAGTTGTGCCACTAGACTTGGCTTTGTTGCTTGTATCTTTTGCAGTGAGAAGGAAATTAGAAGAATATTTTTTTAAAAGCTGAGATGCTCACTCAATTCCCTTCTTTGTGCACTAATTCTTGGACTATAAGGAATGTAATTGCACTGAGAGCAGTTTAGGACCCCAAACAGGTAGACAGAGGCAATATATTCCTCAGTGACAGAGGCAATGTATTCCCATGCCTCAGTGAGAAATACCAAGCCACAAGTATGAACCAGGCATTTGCAAAACCACAGGTAAGAGTACTAGCAACAAAGACAACCACTGAGCAGTTTAAGGGTCAATCTTTATAAACACAATAGGGCAGGATAAACCTGGGGCAGGAAGTGCTTCCAGGCGCCATTCACAGTGTGCTCCTAACCTTTAATATTAAGCAGCCCTGACGCGATTCTGGACACAGTGTTCTGTAAACAGGGCACAAGGAGGAGGGTAAGTGAAAGAAGCTGTGGTACCTTGCATGAGTACCTCCATGGCAGTCCGTGGCTTAGACAGCCGTCTCTCTTCCAATTCACTGTCGGATTCATCATCCTCCTGTATCTCTATGTCTGAGCCATCATTACCTGGAAGTAAACAAAACAAAAGTGGCTTTGTCATTACAACTAAAACAGCTTCTGTCAAGTAAGGCTTATGTACAAAATTCATTTACACATAGGCTTTCTTTTGATGCATTAGATTTTTGTGACTCTCCGGATGCACCTGTAGATACTTAGTGAAGAGTTAATACAGACAATGATGGGCTGTGTTTTTACCTTTTTTAAAACAAATTTCCAAAGTAAGAAAAAAGTCAGTCAGATTGTATTAGTTATAAACACTATTTACAGTCTGTAAAAAATTTTTAAATTTTTCAATGTGACCAGGAGCAGTGGCTCACGCCTTTAATCCTAGCACTCTGGAAGGCTGAGGCAGGTGGACTGCCTAAGCTCACAGGTTCAAGACTAGCTCGAGCAAAAGCAAAACCTTGTCTTTAAAAATAGCCAGGCGTTGTGGTGAGCACCCGAATCCCAGCTACTCGGGAGGCTGAGGCAAGAGAACTGCTTGAGCCCAAGAGTTTGAGGTTACTGTGAGCAACAATGCTACGGTACTCTATCGGGGGTGACAAAGTGAAACTGTCTCAAAATAAATAAATAAATAATTAATTTAAAAAAATGAACTAGCTAGCTGTCAATGTGCTTGGTTAGTCCGGGGAAACATTCTTTGTTCAATGTTAGGCTGTGTTACCAGAACTCAAGCTCCTAGATCATAACAAAGATGAGGAAGTGGAGCCTGCTAAAAAGGTAACAAAAAAGACCATAAAAAAACAAGATAGAGGCAAAAGGAGGCCATGGCTAGGAATGGCATGAATAGAACTGTCCTGAGAGAGAAAGAGTAATGTCAAGAAACCAGCAATGAAAACTGAAGTGTATGGGTGGTGCCTGTGGCTCAAAGGAGTAGAGTGTCAGCCCCATACGCCAGAGGTGGCGGGTTCAAAACCAGCCCTGGCCAAAAACTGCAAAAAGAAAAAAACAAAAGAAAAGAAAAGAAAACTTAAGTGCAGGCAGGCCTTAGTGGCTCATGCCTGTAATCCCAGCACTCTGGGAGACTTAGGTGGATGGACTGCTTCAGCTCACCAGTTCAAGACTAACCTAAGCAAAAAGCCGAGACCCCATCTCTTCTAAAAATAGAAAAACTGAGGCAAGAGAATCACATGATCCCAATAGTTGGAGGTTACTGTGTGATATGACACCATGGTACTCTACCCAGAGCGACAGCTAGAGACTCTGTCTCAAAACAAAACAAACAAACAAAAAACTAAAGTGTATGATATTCTCCAGTGGGAAAAATTCCATCATAAAGATATATATTTTAGGGTGGCACCTGTGGCTCAGTGAGTAGGGTGCCGGCCCCATATACGGAGGGTGGCACATTCAAACCCAGCTCCGGCCAAACTACAACAGAAAAATAGCCCAGCATTGTGGCGGGTGCTTGTAGTCCCAGCTACTTGGGAGGCTGAGGCAAGAGAATCACCTAAGTCCAGGAGTTGGAGGTTGCTGTGAGCTTTACCTCCAATGCTATGGCACTGTACCGAGGGCAACAAAGTGAGAGACTCTGTCTCTAAAATTGAAAAAAAAAAAAAAAAGATACGTATTTTAGAAGGTCATTTTCAGTGCAATACCTTTTCTTTTAGAGATAATATCTTGCTCTGTCACCTAGGTTGGAGTGTAGTAGCATGATCATAGCTCACTGAAGCCTCAAATTCCTAAGCTCAAGCAATTCTCCTGTCTTGGCCTCCCAAAGTGCTGGGATTACAGGCATGAGCCATTGCACTCAGACTACATTAATTTCTTAATACTTTTTTTGAGTCTTGTGCCTAAAGGAAACTTACATGTAGAAAAGGAGAATTTCCAAAAGGAGGTAGGGGTGAGGAAAAGCTTTCCCACCCTCTAACATATCTGCACCCACGGAGCTAAGCAGGTTTTAGGAAAATGGTATTGAAGGAGTTTGCAGTTGCAGTTCTGATGACTAAGAAGTTAGCTTGGGAATAATAGTAATTGTTAGTCTACCAAGACTAGGTATGCCTGTGTATCCCAGTTCTTTGGGAGGCCAAGACAGGAGGACTGCTTATGCACTGGAGTCAAAGGTTACAGTGACTATTATTGTGCCACTGGACTCCAAACTAAGTGATAGAGCAAGACCCTATCTCTAAAAAAAATTTTTTTTCTTTGCTTTGCTCCTGCTATGAGAGGGTAATGGATTGGTAACTAACTATAGCTGTACACAGAGAAAGTGTTTGGTTTCTGCTTTCTTCAGCCCTGGAGGCAAGAGCTGTGCTCTCTAGTAGAGGAGGGACAACAAACTTGGGAGCATGGCAGGAAGATGAAGAGGTGCTTCTGACTTTTCTAACAGGGCATCTGAACAAAGCACGGGCCTTTCTAATGTCTAAGCCCCTATGGCATTTTCCCATCTCTAATCACCTCTTTTGTCCCCCATGTTGTTCAAACTTCAGTCTCCTCAAGTCTCTTACTCCAAACTCCCATCACCAAATCCCAGAGGAGCTCCTCCTTAGTAAAGACAGATGAGCACACTTTAAACATGTGGCCCTCTTCTGGGCTCCAGGTCTTTCTGAGACCTTCCTCATCTGGCATCTTCTTTCTCTCCAGCGCTGACTTAGTCTTAGGGCAGTGAGGTCTATCTGAACCTCTATTTAAAACCATAATTCTGGCTCGGCACCTGTAGCTCAAGCAGCTAAGGCGCTGGCCACATACACTAGAGCTGGCAGGTTCTGAAGAGGTTAATGTAACTCCATTTGGGAATGAAAAGGTTAATGTAACTCCATCTTAGAACTAACTCCCCACTCCCCTCCTAGGCAAGGTCGCCGCGGTAGAATCAGTCTATTAGAAGGAGACTGGTTCCCTCCTCCACACTTTTGGGCAGCCAGTCTGAAGGGGACCAGCTTCCCAGCTCCGCACTTTTGGGCAAGGTCAATTAGCTCAGAGGGAGTCAGTCTATTAGAAACAGACAAGCAACCCCCCTCTAAAAAGTCCCTAACTGTAACAGCTCAGCCAATAGCAACCCCTCCTGACAAAACACCCAATGGCATTCCTCTATACGCTTAAAAAGCTTTAAAAACCTCTGCTCGCTTCACTTCAGGGTCACCCCTCCCCAGCTACACTATAGGGTGGAGTGACCCAGGCATATGCTTACATTTAAATAAAAGCACTTCTTTGTTTTTACATGTGTGTATGGTGGTCTCTCAGCGGTGGTTTAGGTCCCAACAGTTCAAATCCAGCCTGGGCCTGCCAAACAATGACAACTACAACCCAGAAACAGCCAGGCATTGTGGCGGGCACCTGTAGTCCCAGCTACTTGGGAGGCTGAGGCAAGAGAACTGCTTAAGCCCAGGAGGTTGCTGTGAACGGTGATGCCACAGCACTCTACCTAGGGTGACAGCTTGAGGCTCTGTCTCAAAACAAACAAACAAACAAGAACAACAACAAAAAAACCCCCATAATTCCATCAGCTGCTCCTAGCCCCCTTCCACATACTCCACACACATCCAACTTGCTTATGCTTACTACTTGTCTCCTCTCACCAGAATGCAGGATCAGCCAAGGAGAGGATCCTGTCTTTTGTCCACTGGTATATTTAGTACCCAGAACAGATAATATTTTGTTGGATTGAATCTGCTGCCTACAGAACAGGCTGAACAAGATAATTTCTCTGACTTCGGCTTTTGATTACTCTTGCCTTTAATTCATGTCTTTGTACCATAAGATTTCTGTTGTTCAGCAGTTTCACAAATGGAGAAAAGCTCAGAAGTCTTTCATGTATCTCCTGTATCCTAAAACTCTGGGCAATGGTCCCATATGTGCAAAAAAGGAAAGATAGACAAGCATCTCAAGAACTTTAGGACTAATCAGAATAGAAAATAGTCCTTCATAAATATTTTTCTAACTTTTTTGCCTATCTCAATCTAAGTAAGCACTTTCCTTCATTAGGTTAGTTTAAAGAGCAACTTATTTCTCAAAAAAATCTAAATCACACATCCTCAAGAATTTTTGTCCTTCAGGAGATTCCAGACCTACAAATCACCAGATTAAAGTCTGAGTTCAGAAAAACAAAGCAAGATCAGTGTAATAGGTCTTAACAGTCAAGGCAGACTGGGATGCAATCAACCAAATAGGACTCTTTTTTTTTTTTTGAGACAGAGCCTCAAGCTGTCGCCCTGGGTAGAGTGCCATGGCATCACAGCTCACAGCAACCTCCAACTCCTGGGCTCAAGCTATTCTCCTGCCTCAGCCTCCCAAGTAGCTGGGACTATAGGCGCCTGTCACAATGCCCGGCTAGTTTTTGGTTTCAGCGATCATTGTTGTTTGGCAGGCCCCTGGTTTTGAACCTGCCAACTCAGGTGTATGTGGCTGATGCCTTAGCTGCTTGAGCCACGCCTCAGGTGCTGAGCCCCAAGCAGGACTCTTACCTGTGCCGCGTCTCTTGCAAGGGGATAAACTCCACTCAGGCTTATCACACAGGACCGCTTAAGCTCTTGTGTCTGACATGAAACTAAACAGATGAGATGCTCAGAGGGGCCCTTCAAATCTTCTAAAATTGCCACTAGAGGACTTCCCAGCAGTCCCTATTCTCTTTCCAGATTCAGAAGAGTCATAGAGCAAGTAAAAAAGGAGAAAAACACAAAGGGGAAAGGCAAACAGAGACGGGAACCGAGAGTGAACGGGCCCCAAGGATACTATCCTCAACATGAGAGAGAATAAAATATTTCACCATGAGAAAGCAATAAGCAAGAAAAGAAGTAACCCTAAACAACAAAGCCATCAGTACAGCAGGAAGATCACAAGTTGCTACTGCTTCCAACATGGACTTGACACCTTGGTGAAGGTCATGGATGAAGAGTGCAAACCAGTTATGGAGAGCATTCCTCCCCAGAGCCCTTATATGTAGGTAATCCCTATTTCACGACCACCAAGAACCTAGCTGAGCAATTTTGGAACCTAGTGGGCCATCCTACAACACGTGTGGCCCCTTAATTCACACTGCCTCCGAACACTTGCTTTCCATCGCTCTGCCCTAAATACAAAACCCTATAAACCTCTAGGACCAAGTTTTCTTTTAGTTATATGTAATTTAAGTCATCATTTAAACAGGGGAAAACACTATTGTAACTGGCACAAGGATGAAATGGACTTTAAATGCTATGTAATTTAAACCAGTCTCCTGAGTGAATTCAAATAGTACCTAATAAAAAATTGCCTTTGAAAAAATTTTTTGTTTTTAGAGATAGGGTCTTGCTCTTTCACCCAGGCTGGAGTACAGTGGTGCCACCATAGTTCACTGTAACCTTGAACTCCTGGACTCAAGAAATCCTTCCACCTCAGCTTCCCAAATAGCTGGGACTAAGGGCACATGTCACCACACCAGGCTTGAAAAGTTTTTTATCTACAGTCAACAACAATGTGTTACACATTTAAAAACTTAAGACACAGGTCTCACGTCCAGTGTCCTTATCACAATAAAGTACTTGACAGAAAAAAATATTTTAAAAAATAATAAAAATTTTAAGGCTAAAAGTGCTAGTCCACAATAGACACCTCTGTCTACAAATTATGGCCTTACTTCCGCTCTTTAGCAGCCGCTTTTCTTCTTCCTTTAGCTTGTTCTGCATCAGACGAAGAGTATTTTCAGCTTCCTGTGGGAAAGGAAAAATAAGATTCAGAAGAGATGACCCTCTTGTGGACTATTCTATTCTTCTTCACAACTGCATAAGTACTACTAAGTTTGTGATACAGAATAAGAAAAGTTCCAACTTTAAGGAAAGAGAAGAGAATTAACACTAAGTAGCGTTAGGGTTCCAAAACTTGGTACCCTTTCTCTCTAAAGTCACCAGCTGTCCTGTGGACAGGGGCTCCAAGGGTGAAGTGTTTGCCCCATTCTCATGCTTCCTGCCTCTGAGGATAACCAAATGACATATTTAAAAGCCTACTGTGGTGGCTTATGCCTATAATCCTAGCACTCTGGGAGGGCAAGATAGGTAGATGGCTGGATCTCTGGAGTTTGAGACCAACCTGAGCAAGAACATGTCCTAACACAACAATTAAGTCAAGTGAAGGCTACGTTAACCAGTTTGATGTAAACACTCCAAACTGTATATAAAATCAACACAGTGTACCCCATAAATGCATTAATGTACACAGTTATGATTTAATAAAAAAAAAAAAAAAAGAAAAAAAGAAAACAAATGAATGGGAAACAAATAAAAATAAAATGTCCTAAACTCTAGGCTCTTCCCATTAACCTTACAATGTGCCTGTCCTGTACCCTGTTTCTCCATGGCCTGCCACTCTGCCATAAAGTAACACCAGCAATGAGTTACTTGTCAAGATGCCATGTGTCATCACTGGACAACTCAGAACAGCTCTACTTTATTCAAATGCCCAGGCTTCTAAGAAAGTGCCTAACCTTAACACCAAAAGTTGTCAAGGACAGTATAAGAAGGGGAGATTGTAGACCAATTTCATCACGAACATGGACTCCAAATTACCATTCGTGGGTTAGGCAGAAATATCCTAAGGTATAAGGCCAACTCAAAACGTGATTGTAATTTGATTCAATTTCCTTTGTGCTGAATTCCATGTGTGTCAATTCCTGCTGGAATCTAAAAAAGGTGGTCAGATTCTGGATTACATGTATTTCTCATAACCAATAAATTGCCACTCCTCTTTATAGAGCAGTCTAAAATGAGCTAGTTTGGGTGGTATAATTAACCAAGGCTTGAAAATCTTTACACGAACTGACCAAACAAGTATTTAGATCTGTACTCAAGACCAGTTGCCTAATTTGTGGGAATCAATACAAAATAAAATGCACATAAAAATGATTACAAATCTCAGGACAGTAGCAGCAGACCATGGAAACAAGTACAGACCCTTCTCATTGCACAGTTTTGTTTTGTTTTGTTTTTTTGAGACGGAGCCTCAAGCTATCCCCCTGGGTAGAGTGCCATGGCATCACACTCACAGCAACCTCCAACTCCTGGGCTCAAGCGAGTCTCCTGCCTCAGCCTCCCAAGTAGGTGGGACTACAGGCGCCCGCCACAACACCTGGCCATTTTTTGGTTGTAGCCATCATTGTTGTTTGGCGGGCCCGGGTTGGGGATTCGAACCCGCCACCTTAGGTGTATGTGGCTGGCGCTGTAGCCGCTTGAGCCACAGGCGCCGAGCCCTCATTGCACAGTTTTATGTGACTACACAGGTTACATGTTGCCCTGTCTGTATTCCTAATTGACTAAACCCTAATGAAAACGTTAACACTGAAGGGTTGAGGCCAGGCAAGGTGGCTCATACTTGTAATTCCAGTACTTTGGGAAGCTAAGGCAGAAGGATTGCTTGAATCTAGGAGTTTGAGACCAGCCTGGGCAAGACAGTGAGACCTCATTTCCACAAAAAATTTTAAAAAATTAATTGGGCTTAGTGGCATGTGCCTGTCTTCTCAGCTATTTGGGAGGATTGTTTGAGCCCAGGAATTAAAGGATGCAGTGAGTTATGATGATGCCTCTGTCCGGGCAACAGAATGAGACCCTGTCCCCTACCTTCCCCCAAAAGAAAAAGATTTGATAACCCTGGAGTCCTGGGTACACTGCCAGCAAAACAAAAGAATTAAATGAGTGATCCTCAGACTGCCCAAGGAGAATAAACCATTACTGGCATTTTTTTCAGTGATACTCACAAACTGAGAAATAGTCTGTACACAGAAGGCTAAGCACTCACCTCAAATCTCTCCTGTTCCATCCTATGATGGTCTTCGAGCTGTTGTTCCAGGTAAGTCAAATTTCGAAATTTCTCTAGATAAATGTCATACTGCTTCTGCAATTCTTCCTCAATCTTCTCATATTCATCCATAAAGGCTGGTCTAAAACAAGCAAATGAAATAAAAAGTGAAAGATTAATTAATACAGTATTCTGAAACTCATATTCAGAGCTCCAGACTCCTTCATGGCTTTCTTTGGAAACATTTAATAGAGAAAGTCCCTCACTCTTTTAACTGCTTAAAACTAATTACCCTTGGCGGGGTGTGGTGGGCCACACCTGTAATCCTAGCACTTTAGGAGTTTGAGACCAGCCTGAGCAAGATGCTGAGGCAAGAGGATTGCTCAAGCCCAAGAGTTTGAGGTTGCTATGAGCTATGATGAAGTCACGGCACTCTACCTAGGGCAAGAGAGTGAGACTCTGACTCAAAAAAACCCCCTAAAATCCCCCCAAGCCCCTAATTACCCTATCTTCCCTCACACCAAAATAAACATATTTCTTTTAAGTCATAAATAAGATGTACTCTTTGTAAGAACTTAAAATAATCATGGAAGTATGAAAAATTATGTAAAAATTATTCAAAGTCCCATCACTAGGTATAAGCACTTAATATTTGACATATATCCTTTCAGACTTTTTTTTCTTTTTCTTTTTTTTTTTTTTTTTTTTGAGACCGAGTTTCACTTTGTCACCCTCGGTAGAGTGCCATGGCATCACAGCCAACAGCAACTTCAAACTCTTGGG